AGGAATCCTGAAGCCCACAAAACCAGATCTACAAGTGCCTTTTGCATCTACTCAAAGGAAAGGTGTGGAAGAAGTTTCCTGGACCAGATTGCTATGATCAGCCATCATACTGTTTCTGTCTACATTCTGAGCAATACATGTTATGTTTATGGGTAGTTTATTCATATTAGATGTAACAAAGCATACCACCTTTATTAAGGTTCAACATCATGGAATGGATCTAAATTTCTATGGACTGAGGTGTTAAGTTAAGAGTTCCTACTGAATTCATGGAGCTCACTTGAAAGTTTTTTGCAAGGATTATAATAATATAGAAGGTGATATTCAGTTGTTGTTTAATTTAACATAAACAAGGTGTCAAAGATGAGAAGAACCAAGGTATAAAGTTGTTCTGGTATAAATAATCATTGTCATTGATTGAGATGGATATGAAGACAAGAAATAAAAAAAGCACAGACACACAAGTGTTTCCTATCTGTTTGAATGAATGAGCAGCTTTATGTTTTACATAGCTTACCCTTCTTCTCCTTTGGGGAGGGGCATACTCTGGGTGGTCGCAGAAGGTTCTTGTGGCATCTACAGTGTTGCTGCACGCATGTCCCGGAAAACTCGCAGCAGTTGTGCAGGACATGGGATAAGTGTACCGGAATGGCTGCCCGTGGGTGGTATTGGGCAGCAACACTGGGGGGTGCGCTTCGCCTCATCGTAATGCAGTCGGCATAACCGGCTGCCGCAGGGCAGACCAAGCCTCTTGCACGTCGGCACGTCGATTTCTATCACTTTATCATGTCGACACCCCCCTGATAACCATGTCCTTCCCCGCATAAAGCAGAGTCGCTCCATGTCTCAGCTCGGGACCGGACTTCCGGGTTTCTGAATTTGCCGCCCCGCGAAAGGGCAGTTGGGAGAGTTACGGGGTCAATCAAATAACCGCTGGGGTTTTCCCTTCTCCGTGGCCCAGTACTCACATACAACCACGTATTTTACAATTATCCATGTAGACAAATAGATAATGAATGTAATCTGACATGAAAGTTCTGAGGAAATGTTTTATTGATTAATAGCTAAGGCAAAGAACTGAATTCACTCGGCCACGTCGCCTGGTAACTGCACCTTTAACCCTTGACCGCATGACCTCCCTACATCAGCTGAGCGTAAAACTACCTGATGACCCACACAATTCACAATTCGTCCTCTAGTTATTGCACGTCAGGTACTTCCATGGCTGCGTTTGGTGGAAAACAAATTGTCGTGTGCCACGCTGCATGTGCGAAAGGTGATGTTCGATTCTGAAAACATGGTATCACGCTTACCGTTGCTTATTTGGACAGCGTTGCAACAAAATTACGAGCATTGCAAAAGATATTTTACGGACACAGGTGCTCGGAAACTGTTACACAGGGATTTATCCTTATATACGCGCATACGTCCTTAAATACGCTACGTTAGGAGGGTATGGTATTTTTTTGGTGTAGATTCTTAAAAGAGGGTGGATTTTTCCATGACCTGGATTAACGAATTTATATGCTTTATTGTCAAGTAACACCATATTATTTCTGTCCTTTTCAACCAGGACCATGCACCAGGCAAGCTTGGATGATGCAATGGAGCTGGCCTGATATTGCAATAACGGCGTAAATGTGCTTTACCTGCTACTGTCGGGGCGCCCCGGGGCTCAGAACGGCACTGGGCATTCTGTAGTGCGCCTGCGCGAACTTAATGTTCGAATTTCAAGCGTTCTATTCAGACGTGAAGTCAAGTACGATAATACCGGACTTTTAACGGTTGTAAAGGAAATTGCTGCAATTCACCTTTATTTACTACCATTGTAAAGCCAGATACTGTTTACATAGTAAACATTACCTGAGTTTACAACCTTTGGTAAAATCCAACTTTTCGTGCAGTGTTAAGTGAATATCAATGGAAGATATAAAGATATATGATTATGAATTATGTTATAATTCACGGAGCTCTGTATATTGTGACGGTCAGTATCTGGTAGCTGTAGCTGTGTTTACTATTCCATTATAATTTATATAACGTTAACGTTACATAGAACTAACCTATAATCTCCATGCAAACAATAATTAACAACATATATTTTGGCATTCCTGTGGCCTGACTCGCGCCACATGATATAGACATTGACTGAGGTAACTGCAAAAAGCATTCATAGATTTAGGAAGGGCAGGGTATATCTACTAGCGACCGTCACCGTTGTATTATTGTTAATGTATATATGTGCATGTTTAACGTTACGAACGTGAGGGCCATACCGATATGCCTGCTTAAATACTGCACTCTGTATCGATTCAAAACAAATCCACGCACTTACCTGCTTATATGATGACCCTCCCGTCTTGTTGGAAATAACGAAAGCTGAATCAGCTAACTCTCTAGCCGGCAAATGTTACGCTACATTCTCTAGTTGAACGCGCTCCATCTTGTCCGCCATTTTTCCTACCCGAAGACGGTATGCAGGTATGCAGGTGCAGGTGATCCTGGACGTGTTACGTCACGGCAGCTCGCCATGCCAGCCACGGCTGGGATGGTGTGATCATCGCTTATATAGACAGGAAGTATACCTTGAGGTACGGAGGTACTACCTTACACCATGGAGGTCTCTTTTTTCTACCTCCATGCTTACACCGATAACAAGCAATGGATCATGCCCGTAATTATATGCTTATAAGCTATAATCGTGGTCGTATCAGGTGCAGCTAAAGGGTATCTCAATAACTGAAATAAACTGAAATTAGACGTTACATGTCTAGACACATTTAATACTAAGTACGCTTTGCTAGCTCTGCGGATTGGGGTGGGGGGATTGGTTCACTGCCAGAGGCACAATCCATGACTATGGCTTAATAAGATAAAAAAAATATATATATATATATAGAAATGCTGTAAGCATTTTTTCCGTAGTCAACTCGCAGCTAACTATACTCTAGATTCTACGTATATATATATTCTACAGATCTTTGCAACCACACCAGTGACCGTTTTGAATCCCCTGAACACTCACCTAAACAGGTCGCTGCTGTGCCCTTTTTTCGTTGAGGTCGTCTGGCGTTTGCTGTGACGCACCCCCATGTCGCGCGTGTGGCCTAAGCTCTGGTCAGGGTTGTAAAAACTGGTTCTGGAAACAATCTCGCACGTAGTTCAGCTCAGCAACGCACAGCTCCCACGCCCAGCGAGTATAATAAATGCGGAAGTGCATATTTGGGTAACCATATTCCCAGCTGATTGACACAGGTTCACAGCGCCCTCTAGTGACTATGTAGAGAACTGCATGTACAGCAAAGAAACTGCCATGATAGGCCATGTGACAACTGTTGTGCAATAAACGTTGATTGGTTGATTGATTGATTGATTGATTGATTGATTGATTGATTGGTCGATTGATTGATTGATTGATTGATCGATCGATCGATCGATCGATCGATCGATCGATCGATCGATTGATTGGTTGATTGATTGATGGCAATGCCATCTCTTACTTTTAAGTCACCTAGACGTGCCCCTGCTAGAAAGCTATGGATCGCCTTACATGCAGCATCCTTCCAGCATCATGAGCATGCTAGCTAGAACCATCGCCATGATTTTCGTGCCATTCCAACCGAGGCCTGCAGACCAAGTCCAATCTTCTTTAACCCTATCTAGACCGGGCTTTTTTGAGCAAGATTTGACCGGGGGGGCTCTTTGGCCCCCCCTCAGAACTCGCTAACGGTATGTCGTATGGCTACCAAATTTTCAGAGGATGGTGTACTAGTTAAAATTTATCATATCTACAATTTTTTTGTCATTATGACGTAATATGACGTCATTATGACGTCATTAATGGGATTTTATTGGCCAAAACCGTCTAGATAGGCTATTCCTGAAAACTAAATGGTATTCAACATAACTTTACCAAAAGTGTTTATGACAGAATATTAGAGTGTACTAAGTCTTATGTTGCCCATAGCAACACCGGTGACGTCATAAAATGACGTCATACATATTTAAGATATCCGCCATCTTGGATCATCAATGCTGAATTTTCAAAAATAGTTTTTTTTCGTGATAAAGCCTAAAATACATTGTAAACATACCAAAGACCTTCATTTAAACCTTTTTTGGAAAAAGAAATGGAAGTATTGATGAAATTTTAAGGAAAATAACTTGTATATACCTGTTCTAATGATATGGTCCGCCATCTTGGATTTTGGCCAATGACGTCATCAAATTAGCATAAATTATGCATATTTAATGATAAAATTTACATAAATTCATATGGGATGTTATTAATATTAGAAACCATGAGTAACTTGACATAAAACCCATAAAATTCTATTCTTGAAACAAAAATTACTAAATTTAGCAAAAAATTCCTGTCATAAACCCGTTGCCATGGCAACACAAAAAATGATTATCTTATTCCAATGATAGAAAATTGTTGCCAACAATATTTTAGGAAAAGTCACCAAGTTTGGTCATTCTAGCCCTAGCCATTCAGACGCTATGTGACATCAAAGTTGGCGCGGGCACTTTTAGCCCCCCCCCCCGGTCTAGATAGGGTTAATATCATCCTCCGTGTACCATATGACGTAACTACCTCACTTCATTATGTATTCCATTATCTTCATACTTATACATGTATAACTGAAATGTTCTACTGCAAGGTTTCTCCTACTCAATGCAATGACAATAAAGAAATGACTGTACTAGACTAATCTCCAAGCAGATCTTTTGGTGGCAAGACAGCATCCATTGGCCAGAGGAGTGTCCATTTCGGTTGGGAAATGGATACAGGACGGCCAATGGAGACAGGACGGCCAATGGATACAGGACGGCCAATGGAGACAGGACGGCCAATGGATACAGGACGGCCAATGGAGACAGGACGGCCAATGGATACAGGACGGCCAATGGAGACAGGACGGCCAATGGAGACAGGACGGCTAGGATGAACAGGTATGAGTAAGGATTAATAGGAAAACGCTAGGGTGAACGGGGATATGTAATTGAAAAGGCCAGTGAATGGGAAAATGCTAGGATGAACAGGTATGCGTAAGGATGAATAGGAAAATGCTGGGATGAACGGGGATATGTAAGGATTAATAGGAAAAGGCTAGGATGAACCGTATGCGTAAGGAAGAATGGGAAAAGGCTAGGATGAACGGGGATATGTATGCATGAATGGGAAAAGGATAGGATGAACAGGTATGAGGAAGGATGAGTGGGAAAATGCTAGGAAGAATAGGGAGTAGTAAGGATGAATAGAAAAAGGCTAGGATTGAGTAAGGATGAGTAAGGTTGAATAGGATTAGGATAGGAGTGGAGGAGGAGTGTACAGTTGTTCATAAGAGGTTATGGTCTCATTCGTGAGTTTTTGTTAACTATAGCCGCCTATGGCAAAATACGTAACTTTACATAGGCCAAAACCCAATAATTTGAATGACAGCCATCTAGTCTATCCAATCAATTTTTAACACAATGGCCCTACATTACGTCAAAAAATTCCCAACCAGATCTAACCCAACAATCTCTTTTTATTTATTTATAAACTGCACTTGGCCACTCTCCGCCAGAGGTCCTCCAGCGCTGCTACCTCCTGACCGCATTACCCATCACAACAGCGTGTAAACATCCGACCTGTCGCGCGGATGTCAACACTTACCCACTAATTTTAGCACATACAAACAACCTCTCATATCACAAGCGGTTTACGCCAACTGACTTAGCTAAAATGCAATTTCTGGCGGATATAAACACACATCCATACACGCATTTAATTTTAGTACGATCTACTTTAGAGTACCCACGTGCACGCGGAAGAATACCGAAATGAGACCTTATGCAGTTTGGTTTACCACATGTGATGTCTGTACCTATAGTGCTACTACCATTGATAATGACATGTGTTATGCATATTCATGGTCTCATTTGCATGTTTGTGACCGGTTACATGCGGCCGTTACCTACATTTCTTGGGTAATCAGGTAACGAGACTTGACCTCTGGCCGGGCTTAGTACTTCCGTGTCATGGCATCGCGCCTTCCTGTCTCGCAAGGACGCGGCATCTTGAGCAGTTTTCCGTCTTTGGAGTGATAATTTCAACAGGCGACTCGGCCCGATCTGTGTATCAACTCACTTCCAGGTAGGAAACGTCGGCATGTAGTTGGTATTCAGAGGTTTGTAGAGTTGGTAAACTACGGTTCATGATATTTGTGTGGCGGCGTGAGTTTGGACCAGTGTGCGTACCCGTTAGCCGCGGCGACTGTTGCAGGGCTTCTCTTGCTTGCAGTCTTTTACAGTAGCCCTAACAACAGTTGCGGAGTGGTGCATTGGGCCAAATGAACAAACATGCGTTTTACCGTGCCGGAACACTTTGAGACCGAAGTTTGCACGTCCCCAGATTCCTAACAGCCTTGCCTAACGTGCCGGGGTGTTTTGCGCGTCAGCCGGTCCCTGCGCGACTCGTACCGCCACTATTTGCGATCCCTCCCCACGCAAAACACAATAGTTGGCCGCCATTTTCGATTGGAATCAGCCGCCGGGAAATTTGCCGCTACTTTTCTGATAAGCTATTTCTATGGATAAGAAAAATAGTGGCACATTTGCAAGTAGCTGATTCAGCGCGCGGCTGACCAAGATGGCGGCCACTCGGCTTAGTTAACCGCCGAAATGAGTCCTTAGCTTGGTTCACAGAATTTATCATAGCGCAGTCAGAATCGGGAAAGCCAGGCTAAAATATATGTCGTTGTAATCCTTACAAGTCAGGGAACCTCGGGAAGTTCATTTGAAGATCACACTTGTACACAAAAACGAGCTTTGTAGCGTCAACGTTGACCTTTATTCGCTAGCTAAGAACTCATTTTGGCGTAGGTTTTCGAACTGTATGGGGGTTTCCGTGATACCGCTAATCCCATCTACTTCCGGGTCACGGCTTACGAGGTTCGGTTACTAGTATATTACACGCCGAAGAGCTAAGGAAACGTTGCGGAGTGAAATTTCATGAAAAAAAGCTCTTAAAAAGCCGCGCCTATAAGGTTTCGCAACTTCTTCCCAAAAATCCAATTACGCTTTGGCGAGTATATTAGGGTCTGCCCTCCGTGTCTATCATATAAATGATACACGTAAACGTCGGGTCGTCTTCGAAGTACCTTATGTATCATTTCAATGATACGTGTAACTACCTAGGTTTTCCAAAGTCGGACTGACTTCCAATATAGTAACCCCACTATCATATCTACGCATGTGTGAGACGGGTACATTGTACCAGCAATCATTTAAATAGCTAATAGAAGAGTTACCACTTGGCTCTTAAAAAGCCGCGCCAATAAGGTTTCGCAACTTCTTCCCAAAAATCCAATTACGCTTTGGCGAGTATATTAGGGTCTGCCCTCCGTGTCTATCATATAAATGATACACGTAAACGTCGGGTCGTCTTCGAAGTACCTTATGTATCATTTCAATGATACGTGTAACTACCTGGGTTTTCCCGGAAGTCGGACTGACTTCCAATATAGTAACCCCACTATCATATCTACGCATGTGTGAGACGATCAAAAAATCCCTTCACCTTTGGCGAGTACTCTTTCTCGCAAAGGCGATTATGGTCTGCCCTCTGTGTCTATCATATAAATGATTGGCGCGGCTTTTTAAGAGCCAAGTGGTAACTCTTCTATTAGCTATTTAAATGATTGCTGGTACAGTGTACCCGTCTTACACATGCGTAGATATGATAGTGGGGTTACTACATTGGAAGTCAGTCCGACTTTGGAAAACCTAGTCCTAGGTAGTTACACGTATCATTGAAATGATACATAAGGTACTTCGAAGATGACCCGACTTTTGCGTGTATCATTTATATGATAGACACGGAGGGCAGACCTTAATCGCCTTTGCGAGAAAGAGTACTCGCCAAAGGGTGAGGGATTTTTTTTTATCGTCTCACACATGCGTAGATATGATAGTGGGGTTACTATATTGGAAGTCAGTCCGACTTTGGAAAACCTAGGTAGTTACACGTATCATTGAAATGATACATAAGGTACTTCGAAGACGACCCGACTTTTGCGTGTATCATTTATATGATACACGCGGAGGGCAGACCTTAATCGCCTTTGCGAGAAAGAGTACTCGCCAAAGGGTGAAGGATTTTTTGGAAGAAGTTGTGAAACCGTAACGGCTTTGCAAAGGTCACCTTTCTAGTTGATG